GATATTGTAAAGTCTCTCAAGATGTACAGACAATGTATAATATAATAAAGAGTTAAAAACAGAGAAAAGGAATGAAAGGAAGGAGGGAAGAAATTGAGAAAGCTGAAATAAGAAAGAAATGAAAGAAGTACTACCTTTCTCCTTAAGTGTCAAGGGGAGAATAAAAGTCGTTACAAGGGAGGGGGAGAGAGAAGAAGTGTGAATGTGGCGTCATCTCTAACGGTTATCAGACGAAGTTTGAACTAAAAGCGCTGGAAGCCTAAATAGGTACGAGAGATATATTATTTAGAAAAATGATGGAAAATTGAACGAACGTTAATAGAAAGTGGAAGAAAAATTCAAAAGAAAAATAACTATTGAGTAATAAGGGAGAAACATTGAAATAAAAATATATCATATATACATATATATATATATATATATACATACACATACATACACGCATATATATATATATATATATATATATATATATATATATATTATATATATATATATATATATATATATATATATATATATATATATATATATATAAGGGATTTGTCAGCAAAAAGGAAAGGAATATAACTATGGATGTTTTAATAAATTCAGAATTTGGGAATAGGCTAAAGAAAAGTTCTGTTTGTCAGATTTAAGATTTATTATTCCATTAAAATAATAAAAAAAAAAGACAAATTTTTCATGAAATTTCGTAAAATTTTAAACTATCGTATAGAAAGATTATACTTTTGCAGTAGCAGAAAATATAATTATAGGCACCCCTCTTAACTTATTTTTCAATCTCCTTTTCCTTGAAGCTATTTATCTATACGTTAAATAGATAAATTTGAAGTATTTCGGAGGAGGAAAGTTTAGCCAAGTTTCTTCTAAATAAGTACATTCGTTTCGTCTATATGGAACTGGTTTTTCGGCGGCCAACTTGATAGAAAAGTACATTTTGGTGAAATATGATGTCTACATAAATTTAATTGGCTTTCAGCAGAAGATTTTGGCCAAGTTTCATTAAAATCGTTTAGGCATTATAGCGAACCATGTTTTTTTATCCGCCATCTTGAAAAGAAAGGGCGGATGATAATAGAAGTTTTGAGAATCATCTTTGGGTGCCTTTTGACATTTATACCAAATCTCAAAACGTCCGGTCAGTAGTTTCGAAAAATAGCCGCAGAGTGACGGATTGTTTTTATTCGATTTTCGGATTCTACGTACTTGAAACTTAAAATCTCGAATTTGTAAGTGGCTTTAACTTTCGATTACATTATTGATAAAAACGAAGCAAAACAAAAGAAAACTTTGACACCCAACTCTTTATTATTGTTATATGTATAGCATTTGATGTTGAAAATTATTGTTTTAAAATATTTAAATATAGCACATTCATCTGCTAACTTGATAACTACAGCCATCTTAGTTATAATCACAAACGAGTTTGCGATTTTGACACTGTCGAAATTTCAACAGCTTTCAAACTTAAACATTTGAAAATCCGATTAAGTACACCGCAACTAAGGTCAAGAGAACTTAAGCCCTACCTCAATCCAATCTAAGTACTAGCCACCTAGTATGGAAGGTATTATGAAATTACTTTTTGAATTTAATCAAGTCCCCTTTTTAAGGACATAAATTATATGTATTAGATTATTTAAACATAAATAACATTTATATTAATCATAAAATATGAATATTTAGGACGAAAAAAAAAGAGACTAGGATAGACACTCGTCTCACAACTCTGCGATCCGTTTCGGTTTTGAGTAATAGATAATAGTAATTTATTTTTCATTCATTTAGCGTAAAACCCTCAGACCATTAACGCCTTTAGGCTTCCATTTACTTAGAATTAATTAATTATGATAAAGTTGCTTTTTTTATTTCTTTAAAGAAAAATATTCAAATATGTTCGTAGGTTTTATAGTATGTGGTTAAACATTGTAGTTAACCAATTAATTATATCTGAACTCGTCAGATCGTTCAATTTATAAAAAAAAATTTACTAGAATAAAAATGTAAAAACAAACTATCTTTGATGATTCGAACTATGTTTTTTATATTCCTGCTTTAACTCACATCAGATTATTACATTCCCTCAATAAAATCAACCTAGTTGAAGACTATAAACTGTGAAAGGTGTAATAATTTAAAGTAAAGTGGCTTTCAATTATGGACAACCTTCCGGGAAGAATAAATATGGCGTATTAAATTACTTTTTTTGTTTTGTATTTTCCAATCAATCTGAATAATTTTATCACCTTCATTTTAAATAAAAAACACATATATATCACCTAAATAGATAAACACATAAGAATTGGGAGGTGACTATAGTGGGTCATAATGTAACAATATCTAGGTTTGGAATTTAATATAGATGTTACAATAGTAGGTTTTACAACTTTTAGTTACCACCCTTATTTTAAACATAAATACGTAATTTTTTCAGAAAAACGGAAGTGAAAGAAAAATTACTGAAGGTACAAAATATAATTTAAAACAATTAATTATCATATTTATTATTTTATAGTTGACAAATACATCATATTTATGATTTTTGGTAGCAAACTATTCAATTTACAACTGTATATTTTAATTATATATTGGATTATAATAAATAGCCATAAGCCAAGAAATATTTTTAGTCTGGCACTGATTAAGAAGGCCACTCTATTTATTTTTACTTCATTGCAGGTATTTTTATTGCATTAGACATCGTATATATACACATTTTAATTTTTATATTGCTAAATCAATATAATGAAATATTAAATATTAGAAAGTATTAATGAAAACCGCACATATATATATGAAATAAAATAAAATAATATCAGAGCCCATACTTTATCAAGCGCGTTACGCGTTACGTATGGAAGCTAATTCTTACCTTTCGGCCAAGCACGGGTACTTGCTCGTGTATTTTCGGCTCTCTATCAAGACCTCTTATTTCTCCTTTAATTAATTATTATTTTTTTTTTAATATTTTAAATTTAGACATTATTTAAAATAAACCCAATTAAAGGTTCTTTAATGGGAGAAATTCCGAACATTCGGCATTTAAAACCAGTTAAGCGACCTCAATGAGGATTAGTCCTATTGACATAAAATACCATTTATTTGTGCTTTGATATACCAGATTTAATCAAAATCGCAAAAATTGTGTTCTCTTTCTATATTTTACATATATAAGTAATTGATAGTAAAAAATCGTTACTGTCGCATAGCAAAATGAAATAAAATGAAAATATTTTTTTATTATCCTGGGACTGTTGTCCCTTTAGGTCAAATTAACGACACAGAATAAATGTCTGTGTGGCCATACATAAAATTAATTATTTACAATTATTATTAAGATTAAGATTTTGGAAAAAGAATAAAACAAAAATAGAACTATTGCACGAAAAACATACTGATATGTATAACACAAACGTGGGAAAATAAAATAGCTTAAGTAAAGAAAATCATTTCTGGAGGAACTTTAAACGTTCTCTTATCTACATTTCATGATCAATTGGGCTGGGAAAGGAGTAGGTGATTAAAAAGGAGAGATTTAAATGAGGAAACTGATTGCACATGTCGGATATTGGGAGGAATGGTATTCTAGAAGGAGACGGCTTGAATTATTAAGGATTTGTCAAACGCTGCAGTTCGGTGGGGAGGTGGATAGAGGTCGGAGGTAAGAGATCTAGAGAGACGGGATTGAATGGAATATTTGAATTGTAGGCTGTGAAAAATATAGGAAGGCCGCTGAGTTCTGATGACTTTGTATAGAAAGGTAGCAAGATTGGCCGACAAAAGTCTAAAAGTTCGAGATTATGGCGATGATTGGAAAAATTATATAATAAATCTAAGCTCAGATTAGTAAGTAATATTAAAATATTTTATTACTGTTATCCACTTTTTTTTATGGTATTTGGTATTGTGGTATAGTTGAAATAGAACTTCCAACCCTTTTCATTGCTACCGGATATAGGTTTTGCATATTTCATGATATGATGAACGTTTCATTACTTATTAGTTTGTTATTTATTAGAATGAAAGAAAAATATTGTTATGGTCTGAAAAGTAAAACCTTCCATTTGTTGCTACAGGAATGCTATATGAATATATGTATTTAGTACTAAACAAGGTGAAATAAATGATGATCTAGGTATGAATGATATATATGTATTATTACGAAAATGTTATATTTGGATTTTAAAATTTTCAGGAAATATTAAAATACATACTCATTGTAGACAAGTAATCGTTTACAAATCATTCAACGATTTTTTAATCAATTATTGGATTATTTGTTTATTGATAAATATTACAATCTGTCTCAAAAAAGGACGTTTTTTTTTTAAACAATCAAAATTAGTTTGGATGAGAAGGAAATATTTTATTGCCAATGGCATGAATACTAGACTTTTATCCTCTTAGATTAACAATCGAGATCAACACCTTTTGGGGAGCTCGAGTCGGGATGATACAGCAACCTCAAGGTGGCCGTCAGGGGTTGCCAAAATGGAATCACGATTGGGCTCACTTGCCCAACTTGTTTCCCACACCAGTAGCAGAAGGAGTATCAGTAAGTGGGGGAAGATTATCCTCAGGCCCAATTCTGACTTTCCTAAACAATCGGCCCAGGATTCTCAAAGAAAAGCCGAGGACCGGGGGCTGCAAGCGGAAATAAAATTATCCAATTTACGGTTTTTGAAGGGATCAAACTGTTTATTTTTATTGATTGACCACAATAGCAAATTATTAAAAAAAGTATTAACCAATACATTGTTTTATTGTGTACTATACTCTCTATTGCAAACTGTGTCGGTCATAAGAACATCCTGGTCTTATGATTATGGCTCTCTAACTCCCATATGATTATGGTAAAAATAAAGTGTGCATGAAAACACTATATTTTAGAATTGATGAAGTTTTATTCCTTCTTCTATTTTTTTATATTTTTAAAAATTCTCTTTGCCATAAGGACAGTTGAACATATTGTATTTATGCGTATTCTGTTTTATTAGGGTGAGTTGGAAGATATGGTTCTTGTGAGCGATCCTGCCGGAGTAGCCCAGCAGTGCAGCACCAACTTGACCCCAGCGCTCGACCCACTTCTAGAAGCGGCTAGACCTCATAGGAAGCAGCACAGGCCCAGCTCGTAAGTCACTTTTATATATATATATATATATATATATATATACTGTATATATATATATTGTATATATACTGTATATATATATATATATATATTTCTTTTTCTTTTTTTTTTTAGCAAGATTCTGAATTCATTCGTGATATCATATTCGTTCACCGATGTATTAAACTTTAACATCATTCAACATTAAATATAAGGGAAAACACAAGGTCACCTTTTCTTTATTATTTTCAATAATGAATATATATATTTTTTTTTTTTTTTTTTTTTTTAGCTTTAATGTTTTATTCACACCTGTCATAATGATAATGACAACCAGTGAATGTGAGATCGATTGATTAATAGAATGTCATGAAAGGCATGAGGAGGATCAGTGCCCAGCGGTATGAGGTAGTACATTAAGCGAGGAGGTCCCTCATCCAACTCCTCTTCAGTCTTCTACAGACGTTGCTTGGCATATTCGTAGTGGCCATGTCATTTATAAGTGTATTAGGATGTCCTTGTAAGTTGTCATGGAATCGTTTGTAATGAGTACGTATGTGTTCGTTAACAGTCGGCATATGGAGATAGTATGTAAGGTTATGTTGCTAACCTACCAAGGTGCTTTTGTAATTGTTCTGAATGTTTTTGCTTGAAAGATTTGAAGTTTGTTTAAGTGAGTCTTTTTAGCAGTTCCAAATATCTGTGATGCTTAAGTCCAAATAGGTTTTAATAAGTAATTGTATGTGTTCAATTTCTGTCTAAGTTTTAGTTTTGAACTTTTTTGAAAGAAGTGAACTCAGAATTCTTAATCTTTGATTTAACGTTTTTCGTTTTTTGATTATATGTGGGTCCCACGTCATTTTTCTGTCAAATGTCAGACCAAGGTAGTGAACGGTGTCTGTCTGTGGAATCTGTGTATTGTCAAGGAAAGCTGGAGGGCATGTTTCATGTCGAAGCGTAAATGTGATGTGCTGTGATTTGTCTTGATTTAGTCGGATTTTCCAAATTTTGAATCAGTCATATAATCTTGTTAAATACTGTTGTAGGGTCTGTGAGGCGTATGTTGGATTTTGGTTTCTTGCTAAAATTGCTGTGTCGTCTGCATATGTCGCTGTATGTGATATGGAGTAGTGGAGCGAGTACTGAACCTTGAGGTACTCCTGCTGAGATAGACCTGATGGAAGATAATTCTGACCCGTGTCGGACCGAGAAAAATCTATCGGAAAGGAAGGATTGTAGAATTAGATAATATGTATGTGGGAGTATTGTCTTGAGTTTAAAGATAAGACCCTGGTGCCAAACTCTGTCAAACGCTTGAGCAACATCCAGAAATACGCCAGTTGCATATACTTTCTGCTCTAATGCTGTAGATATGTAGTCCGTTACTCTATGTAGTTGGTGTACAGTTGAGTGATGTACACTAAATCCAAATTGATGGTCAGGTATTATTTGGGTGTTTGTTAGTATATCAACAAGTCTTTTGTTCAGTAAGCTTTCAAAAATTTTGGAACAGATAGGTAGTAAGCTGATTGGTCGGTATGAGGGAGGTGAGTTTATGTCCTTGTTAGGCTTCAGCGTTAATCAAGTCATGTCCAGGAGCTTTTCTTTTAGGCAACTTTTTGATTTGTTCAGCAATCTATGAAGGTGTGAATGAAATAGGAGGTGAAGTTAGTTGTAAGGGCATGTCTAAAGTGTTTAGTACGTTTTTATCATGCACAGTGTTAGTGAAGTCTATGTCTGGTACAAAAACAGAAGAAAGATATTCGGCAAAGAGTTATGATTTTTCTCCGTCCGTCACGGCCCAGGAATCATCTTCTCTTCGAAGGAGTGCTGACACTTCACGATGCTTAATAAGGTTTTTGGTACGTCTCCACAAGCTTCCATCGTCGGTTGTTGTCATAGGTTGTTCGTTTGAATTTTCCAATCTGTCGCTTGTGTTCATTATTAAGTCTGTTGTAAGTTCGTTTATCTGATGGGAGTCTGTCAGTCTGCCATATTTTGCGAGCTCTCCTCTTCGCTCTGATCAAGTCCCTTATGTATTGTGGGTACATTGGTAGGAACTCATATTTTTGAGGTTTTGCTACTGATGAACATCATGCTGCTTCTTGCATATTTCGTGTGAAGTATTCAACGACATCCTCAAGTTCTTCTTCGTTTTTAATGGATAGAGGAACAGAGAGAGCAGTGTCCAATTGGTTCTTGCACCTGTCCCAATCCATTATGGCATTGATCAGGGACAGTTTTTTTGTAGCTTCACAAGGCTCTTCAAACAATACCAAATGCAAAAGGGAATGATCAGAGCAAAGATCTGAACTCGTTGTTATTGTGTGAGGTGTTGGTCGGAGTCCTTTAATTATGAAAAAATCGAGTAAGTCTGGTGTTTTCCGTCTAGAAGTTGGCCAGTACGTGGGTGAATGAAATTGTGTCTAATGAAAGCTCATAAAGAACATACCTAAGATTCCTTCCTCTTGGAGTAGATAGTCTGGATCCCCAGAACTGATCTTTGGCGTTGTAGTCGCCTCCTGCAACAAAGCAAGAAATTACTAAACATCATGGGTGTCAGAACATACCTCGGAGGGCAATAAACCGCAGCAAGAGTAATGTTTTGTTGTTGTGTTGATAGTGTAATGGCTGTAGCTTGAATCTCTGCTGTTATGAGTAATTGTAAAGGATTATGTTTTAGAGTTGTTTTGATAATTATGGCAGTGCCTCCATGTGAAGTTCTGTCTGGGTGGCCAGTTCTGTAGATTTTGTAACCACGGATGTGAAATTTAGAATGTGGTGTCAGATGTGTTTCTGTTATTAGTGCAATGTCAATGCGCTTCTCTTGTAAGTATATGTCTAGTTCGGTTCTATGTTGATTCAGTCCGTTTGCGTTCCAAACGGTAAAGTAAAGATAAATTCTTTATTTTAATGCCGAATGCCGAATCCAACACTTACTATACAAACGCTATAAACCTTCAATTAATTAGTAAAGACTCATCGACTTAACCTTCATAAGACCTATATGGACGTACGAAGTTGATATTTGGAGCTCTACCAAACCATCGAATTCCTATCGTGCCAAATCTTTACAATCCAAAATCCTCCGTAAAATCCTTAGTGCTCTATATTTTGTAACAAATAAAACCATTCATTTAGCCCGAGCCAGATACCTATCCTTCCATGAAAAACTCCAGTCCCATCCGAATCCGCTTCTTTCCAGCATTACTTCTTCCTCGATTCCTTATAATCCACTTAGGCTTTTGAAAAGAAAGTGGCATAGTGATCTTCTCATCTAGAATTAAATAGGGAGTGCTACCACTGGGTAGTATCTCTTCAAGTCTGTTAATGTCATTATTTCTAATGTGTGCATTTTTACTAGTTGTATTGTTTATACAGTTGTAAATTTCATTAAATAAAAAAACAATTTGAAATATTTTGATTTTCCTTAGCATTGATATTAGGTTTTTATAGATTTGGGGTCCTTTTGGAGTGCTTCATCAAGGCTATTTCTGAAAAGATGTTGAACTCTAAGAGATTGGAATGCATAACATTCGCTTAAGATATGGTTCACTGAGAGAAGTACGCGCTGGAAATACATTGAGTAGGAGAGATTCGCACATTTCTTGATATATGATCGATTTTTTAGATTTGTTTTGTTTTTCAACTCCGGAAATTGTATTTACAGAACCATTTTTTTTAAAGAATAATCTCGTTTTTTTAACAAAACGTGAAAAACAACATCTTAATGGGTCATTGTTTTAATTTTTTTTTTCAGAAGTGAGATGCATTGTGAAATCTAAATTATTAATATAACTATTTATATGTATTAGTTAATTTAAACAATTGCAATGTTATATATTGTTAGTTGTTTTACGGTACTTTGAAGCATAGATCTAGAAGAATCTTCTTTTTTAAGGAATAATTTGTATTCCATAGGCTGTTGCGAATGAATATTTAAGATTTCAGGAGAAGTTCATTGTCTTGTGCGATATAAGTAGTGGAACAAATGTATTTTAGTTAATTATAATTTTCAAGTTATATCAACATGTGTTTGGCAATTACTCGAGTAAATTTGCTGCGGTGACTTCATGAGTGATCGTTTTTAGCTTAGCCATGAGTAAATTAGAAAATTACTCAAGAAACATTTTTTCTCCATGAGTAAATCACTCATAAAAATTTTAACAACCTTAGTAATTTTGAAAAAAATGTGTTTTAATTTTATATAATCTAATATTTTTGGATGATTCACCCAACGTTTTATACTTATATATACTTAAATAAATACACACATATCTTTTTGTTTATGGAAATGTAATTAATTGCTCCATTGTTTTTTTGAGAAGGGGGTGTGTCATTTATTAATACAATACATTGCGCATCGACATTTTGTAACTTTTCGGATTTAATCGATATCATGGTTGACTATTATGTTTTTGAGGGCACATTTTATGAAAATACTGTCGGAGTTGAGAATTCATCCCCGGGCATCGACTTTATGCAAATTTTCGGATTTAATCGATATCGGGGTCGACTATTGTGTTTTGGAGATGTTTTTAATGAAAATGCTGTCGGATGAGAGACTGCGTCCCCTCGCATCGACTTTTTGTAACTTTTAGTATTTAATATATATTAGGGTCCGTTATTATCTTGTCGGGGTAACTTTTCATGAAAATCAGTAGGATTTCATATTGCGCAATTGCGCATTACGTTATGACAATATAGTCCTATTTAAAAGTGCGATATTGAGCATCAAGTTTTTGTACCTATAATGTTGTCAGGGACGCTTTTTTGGTAAATTGAAATAATTGAGCTATTATGTACCTAGTTTCATATGATGTCATAACATTGTGATTTTATTGTGCGGCTTAATATATTATAATACATAATTCCAGTAAAATAATAATATATTGCATATTGGTAGGATTGGTAGGGAATATTTGATCATTGAATTATATTTTTTTGCCACAAATAAAAGAATATTCAAACAACTTTTGTGATTATAGTGGTATTTTCACGTCAAAATGTCAAGGGAGCTA